CCACCTTGCAGCCCCTACCAGAGAGATGCTCGTTAGTAATAACAATCCCATCGTTTCTGTTCAGGTTGTTGTTTCTTCAAAAAATAAAAGTTTCATTTGGGGAAATATGTGACCAAGTTCAATGAGAAGACTGTAAGAATCCATTCAAACCCGAAGGTACAAAGGTTCACAGATGTTTGAACGTTTGGTGCAGATTAAACAGGATACGACATGTTGATCTTCTGGGGTGCATGTAGGTGGATTTTGTTTTCTCAGACGCAGTCAGACCGGCTGCTGCATCCTTCCGTTTTTATCCTTATGCTAAGCTAAGCTAAGTGGCTGATGGTGGTTACTGTAAATATAAAACTTAGTGCCTGAAGAATGTAAATGTCAGGGGTTATGATGACAAACAGAATATAGACCAGGAGAAGGCGACATCTTGGAGAGAAGCTTAGCTCAAACCTACTTTTCTGTTTGTTTTTCCCACTGAAACGTAACAGTTCCCCTGCTGTGCTGTCAACTTTGTGTTCGACAACCAAGCTGGGATCAGGCTTGGAGTCAGCTCGAGACAAAAAGGCAGTTTTTTGAGCATAAAGGAGGTAAAACCAGTGTTTGTTTAATATGACGTCCAGCAGCAAAACTGGCAGTCGTGGACATTTATAACTGACACCCGTCCATGTGTAGAGAATGGATCACTGACGGCTAAACAAACATTAATCCAGCGCCGATGTATTGGTCTTTAAACTTCATGCTAAACCGTCAGATTGACCAGAGAGCGCCGCTGTGCATAATGTGCCTCTGTGTGGTTGTTACTCCTCAGGTTGAAACGCTGTTGACCAGGAGGGGAGGTGTATGCAAAGCAGTAAAACGGATGACATCAGGTGCTGAGATGAGCTCCAAGCTGACCTGAAAACTGAATCAAAGGAGTGGGGGAGGAGGAAGCAACGGAGAGGGAGGAGGAGGTTTGTATTTGCTCTTGTCATATTGTGGCATTGAAATAGGTCATACAAGCAAGAGAGCATTCAAATATGCGACTATTCTGGGAGGCGTTACTGTGACATTTCTCAGGATTCATGTGTGAACTTTCTATTTTTCTGTGTTGTGCATTCCTGCATCCACTTACAGCAGCTGCAATGACAAAAACTGAAATATGAAGCATCATTTTGTGCCATTTCCTTTCTAGAAGTG